AAGGTTGTTATAACAATTATAGTTATGGTTATTTATATTAGAGACAAGTAAGACATGTTTAGTAAACGAAGTATTAAATTTAATCAAATAAAAATTGCCTTTTTTACATTGATTTCTCTGGAAAATCCACTTGCTTTTGGTATTTGACAATCTTTGTTTTTAGAATTCCCTCAAAAAAGCTATTCAAATGAATTTTTATAATCTATAAGCCTGGACAATGTAGTAGCAGTCATTTTTGCTTATTATTTCTCTTAAGGAAATGATATTATTTATTTTATTAAGAACATAAGACCATCTGTCCTGAAGGATACCTTTATAAGTCTGTAGTACTTGAAAATGGGCAGAACTCTAACCTCACCAATCTTTTCAATAACCTGTCTTCCATCCTAACCTGTAGAGTTTTCCTAAACAGATCCTTATTATTGCTTCCACATGGACATGGGTGGAAAACATTGGACACCTTGACATATTATTGGACTCCACTACACTCAAGTCTGCTCTCTGCTCTATTTAGCACAGTTCACCCACTGAGTTCCTACTCAAAAGTTATTTTATTTAACTGTAGTGGATTTCAAATAGGACCTAATCCAAAGCTTGTGCCAATTTGTTGATGATCAATTCTGTCTTGATATTATTCTCTTGAGGTGTCTTTAAACACTCATATACACAGGTTTTGTTTGACCCTCTGGTTTTGTATGGTTTTTCTTTTGTCCACATCCCAAGGGGTTATTTTTTTCTATTCCTTAATCTTCCTCTTCCAGGTCATTTTTGTTTTGTCTTAAATGGTTGTCAATTTTTGTTCTCACAAGTTATTGCACAATTCTGTCACACATAACAGTGTGCCCTTATTCCTTATTCACACCTGACCTATAAATCAGTAAAAATAAAACAAGTTATTGAAACAATATACGTATATATTTGAAAATTAAAAATAAAATTTAAATTAATATGATTACATTACCAAATTCAAGATTCATGAATAAACAATTGATATATACTTGATTTAAACAGACCTGTCTTAAAAACTAATTTTTTTTTAGATATATGCCATATAATTTTTGTATAAACTTAATTAATTTAAGAAGAATAGAAAAGTAAAATTAATGTCAAATATAATACAATTTTTATTTGTTTTTTAGTGTAAAATACCTTTCTGTTTGATGTTTAATAAACAAATAATCACCAAGCTGACAGTATTTTTCAATTATGTGAAGTATTCAAATTTAGATCAAAACTATAAGACATGCTCATTTTAAAAAGTTAAAAATTTACTGCCAATATTATTTTATCAGTATAATTCTCAACACAAAAAACTGCAGTCACTTTCAGATAATATACTATTAAAATTAACTAAAAAATTTCATAAATGTCAATATTTTTCAGAAGTTGTTTACTAATGGCACCACAACTTTATCAAATATCTTATTGAGAATACACTACAATTATAAAACACACAATTTATTTAACACTTTGGCTTCTGGATATCAAAATACAATTTTGGCAGTAAAGAGCCATATCGTCGGTATACTGCAAAAACTGACCAAGTCAAATTTTATCAGTTTTGAGTTAATTTGACCAAGTCATTCAAAAAAGTTGTTAGTTCTACCAGAAAAATTGACCAAGGCATTTAAATGCACCACAACTGTCAAACAAAACTCGCCTATAATGACTATGTGCATAAGACTATTTTGGTTACATACAAAACTGACCAAGTCAACTTAGTCACTTTTGGCTGTCAGTAGATTGCACTACTTGCCCGTTAGTCGTGTGCTGTTAGTTGATGGTTCAGAACTGTTTACAATTTAAAAACTGTAAAATATTAAAAAAATAATGTCGAGCAGAGGAAAATATTTAGTGTCCTTATGCGTTAATAGTGTTGAAGAGCAAGTGACTGCTAAAAGTAAGTAAAATATTAAAAATAAGTAATAATTTCGTTCTTAAGAAATTGAGGTTAGATTTGTTTCCGTATTTTACATTTTAGTGTGCGTTTATTTCTATCTCGGGCTAAGCATTTATTAAGCAGGAATTTGATATCAAACATGCATTTTAATTGAAATCTCTAGAATTTTGACTTTTACATTGTATTTTACATTTTAGGTGCAGCAGCTGCTGAGCTTCAATTATTAGAAAACTTCACTGTATTTGCCGATAACGAAATACCTTCCACAAGTACTGAAGAGCATGTCACTGCTGAAAGTAAGTAAATATTAAGTAACTATTGTCGTTCTTCAGAAATTGAGGTTAGATTTTTTCCGTATTGCTCTTTACCTAATTTAGTGCTCGGTAAAGGACTACAGGCCAGAGTAAGAAGTGAGGAAATCAGAAACATATGTGGGGCAGACAATTATAAATTAATACATGTGTAAAGAACATGTGTATCGAATCGACACATAAGCAAGATGTCTGACTCAAGGATAATAAGAATAGCCAGGGACAAGTCACCGTGGGGCAAAAGAAGTAGAGGACGCCCAAGGAAAAGATGGATCGAAAATTTAGGGGCAGAATAAAAGGCACCGTTGAACAAAAACAGGCCGTACTGCCTATATAAAAGAAAAAGAAGAAGAAGTAAAAGTTAGTTCATGAAATAACAATGTGTGTTTTTGTAGTTTTCTTGAATATTTTATTTTTTTTATTTATATAGGGCTACACGTTTAAGCAGAAATTTGATAATAAACATGCTGTATTTAAACTGAAACCTCTAGATTTTTTACTTTTATATTTTATTTTAGGCGAAGCAGCTGTAGAGTTTCAATCATCAGAAAACTTCACTGGATTTACCGATGACGAAATACCTTCTACAAGTAATCTCCAAAAAGGTAATTATGAACAGGATAGTGAACCGGAAGCTACTAGTGAATTAGGTTTAGAGAGCAGCGATGAATATGCTCCGGAAAGCGACGAAGAATCAGATGATGAACCACTGACAAAGAAAAGATCACGTTGGAGAAAACCAGAACCAGAAAAATGGAAAAGAAACGTAACAAAGAAGAAAAGAAGTTTGTGTATGCCGTACAATAGCAAAAACAAAATCAAACCAGCCAAAAGTCCAAAATTTGTGAATTGTAATAATTGTAAGTTTAAGTGCACTTTGAAATTTACTGAAGAGGACAGAATTTCTATTTCTTCAAATTATTGGGAACTCGATTATTTACGCCAAAAAGACTTTATTTTATCTTGTGTTATAAGTCATTTGCCAAAAGTTCACAGAATTCGTACCGGCACAGGTACTAGAAAAGAATCTAGCCGCAAATACTATTTTAAGAAAAGTGCTGAAATTATTCAAGTATGCAAAAAATTTTTCTTAAAAACTCTGTGCATTAGTCATGGTCCAGTGGACCATGCTTTAAAAGGCAAAAATCAAAACGGGTTATTTAATATGAAGGATAAAAGGGGAAAGCATGCTCCTTACAATAAAACTCCAGATATACTTGTACAGAAAGTTAAGGAACACATCGAGAGCTTTCCGACTATGGAATCACACTATTGTCGGAAAAGTTCAAATAGGTTATATTTGGATCCCAATTTGTCAATCAGCAAAATGTTTGAGCTTTATATGGAACAGTGCAAACGTCGAGATGAAGCTCATGTTACTGAAATCACATATCGTAGAATATTTGGAAAACATTATAATATGTCATTTTTTAATCCCAAGAAAGACCAGTGTGCAATTTGCAACCAGTATAAGAATAAAAATATTAATGAAGAAGATTATAAGCAACATCTACAAAGAAGAGATGAAGCAGCCGAGGCAAAAAAATCTGACAAACTTCGAGCAGCTGAAGAAAAAACATTTTTAAGTGCTTCATTCGATTTACAAAGTATATTGCAAATACCATCCTCAGACGTGTCACAAATGTATTATTCTCTTAAATTGTGTGCTTACAACTTTACAATCTATGAAGCGGCACCTCCAAATAATGCACACTGTTATGCATGGACAGAGATTAATGGTCAACGTGGCAGCTCCGAGATTGGAACAGCATTGATCAAGTGGATAAACACTCTGCCAAAAGACATTACAGAGATCAGTTTATATTCTGACACCTGCAGCGGCCAAAACCGCAATCAGTTCATTGCCGCATTATTTTTGTATGTTGTAACACATACCCACATTGAGATTTTGCAGCATAATTTTATGGAGAAAGGACATTCGTACATGGAGGTAGACTCAATGCACAGTGCCATTGAGTCTGCCAAGAAAAATGTTGCCATTTTTACCATGAATGATCTGTTGAATATCTTCAAGTTAGCCCGTTCTACAAGACGCAACAAAAAGAGCAGTGCCTACAGAGTTGAAGAATTACGGTATTCAGACTTTTTCGATCTTAAATCCTTAGCACAGGTGTTCTTCAAAAATAGAGTCAAAGATGAAAATGGAGACAAAGTATCATGGTTAAAATTAAAAGTAATGCGTTATGAGAAAAGTCGACCTGGCTGTATTCTTTATAAGTATAATTTTAGTGATCCTAATTATAAGACACTTAGAGTAAGTGGCAAGGGAAGACCTGCTGTTATTCCAAAGAACATTCCAATGTTATACAATGAGCTATTGTCTATACCAGAGAAAAAGAAAAACAGCCTCCTTCAATTGTGCAGAAACAAGATTATTCCGCCAGAGTTCCATGAGTGGTATAAATCGATTCCAGTCGACAAGAAAAAAAAGGTTCTAATACCGGAACCAGCTTCTTCCGAAAGCGAGGACACAGAAACTGATTAGACTTTAATTTTGTTTTATGTACTGACTATAGTTAATAAATAAATGTCATTTCCTAATAAGGTGTTGATTATATTTTTTGAATTTGACTAAGTCAAATTTCTAATTTTTTTTACAACAAAAAGTGACCATGTACATTTTTTTTATAACTATTCAAAGTCTCCAATGTTTAAATATAGTGGTTAAAAACTAAAGTTTTTAATACACAGGATATCAAAATTGCAGTCACATAAAGCTAATATCCGATTTTATATAAAACTTTCAACTTAAACTTCATTTTCCCCGAAAACAGTAATTTTTGACTTGGTCAGTTTTTGCAGTATACCGACGATATCTTGTTTTATTATTTTGAAATAACTAATTATTGTTACGATTTAATATTATCTGCCACAATTTACTGATGATGTAAGCATCTCGTGACAAACTTTAAAGTGCAATAACTTATTGAACTATCAGTACTTTTAAAATGTATCACTTGATTTTAGCTGGAAGTTTTGTCATTATTGAATTGTGAAAGCAAAACTTTCTCGTTAATAATTCATAATTCTATCATAAGTCCTTATCAATTATGTAGTATATTTATAAACAGGTATTGTATATATCCAGTTTTCATCTAAACTTGAATACTTCTAATGGTAACAGCTAATAAAAAATAAGTACACTATTGGTTAAGAGGATTCTCTGGGGATTTCTGCCATTCCTTAAAGATCATTTGTTTCAGTTGGGACAAACGTAGAGTTGGGTTTTCTTCTTTCAGTTCTTTAAGTCTTCTTTCTTCATATGCAGTATATGCAGCTTTCATACGTTTCTCTGGATGTTTGTCAAGCTCATCGTTATTACTAAAAAAGAAATACAACTATATAAATACATAAACAAATTTAAAAAATAGATATATTTTTTGCTATGCTATGATCAAATTGGAATACAGCTACACCGGGTCTGAGCCTAGAGCTATTCATCAAAGAGTATGAGGAGGAAAGAAGTAACAACCAAATATGCATCACCAAATATAACTTTCGAATAGATAATGTTTGTGTGAAAATGTGTGTTTGGTGTGAAAATCAATGGTGAACTAATAATATAATACTAATATGCTGATGACACTGCCATCTTATGCAACAGTATCTAGGGTTTCAAGAGAGCAGGAAAAATGGATTAAAAAAATGAGGGCTGTATCAAGTTGCTTGTCAATTAACCAAACAGATGGAGAACAATAATAGGTATATTTTTTATAGTTTTGTTGAATAACAAGTAATAGGATTTAGTTCTATAAAGAATGTAAATTTCTTATATGTAGATGGACTTATATAATAAAAGATTCCTTCACAAAAAATTTTTTTATGAATCTAGGAGAATACACAAAAAATGAATAAACAGCTTGGAGTCACTAATGGCACCTATGGAAAGTTGTATTTAAATTCAAGTACCAATATAAAGTCTCATGGAAGAGCGAAGACAGTTAAAGGGAAAATACAGCCAAAAATATAATGAAGTAAACAAACAAATCAGAAAAGAAATAAGAACTGCAAAGGAAAATTTTTATACGAGGAATGCGAGGAAATCGAAGAACTACATCTCAAACATGACACTTTTAACTTACATAAAAAGATAAAGGAACTGACAGGTACACAAAAACGAAAACATCCCAATCTCCTATGCAACGCAAATGGTGAAATAATAGCCGATCTACAAGAAACGCTTAGGACCTGGAAGAACTATGTAGAAGAACTGTTCGACGATGAAAGACAAGAACCTAATATAGATAACTTGCAAGGCGACGAAGGACCAGAAATAACTAAAGAAGAACTATTATACGCTATTACGCGATTTACTATAACCAGAAAGCAAATATCCGAATAGAGCAAGAGACAACGGAGGAAATCGAGATCAAGAAAGACGTAAGACAGGGTTGTATACTCTCACCGACCTTATTCAATCTATACTCCGAAGACATTATAAACACAGCACTTTCGGATCAAAATATAGGTATTAAGATAAATGGCATCCGAATAAACAACTTGAGATATGCCGATGACACGGTACTAATCGCAGAAACTTGGGAAGATCTTCAAATACTAATTAACAAAATAGTAGAATGCAGTGAAGAACACGGATTATCACTTAACATAAGCAAAACAAAAATATTGCTAATATCTAAATCACCACAAAACTTCCCTGACATAACCGTGCATGATCAAAGAATCGAACGTGTAAGAAGATATAATTACCTGGGAACTGTTATTAACGAAAATAATGACTGCTCTGAAGAAATCAGAACCAGATCAGAACCTTTTGAGATGTTACGTTATGTCAGTTCTCCTCTACGGGATGGAAACATGGACATTGAAAAAGATCGATACCAAAAAGATAGAAGCATTTGAGTTGTGGATGTATCGTAGAATATTAAAAATACCCTAGACAGAGAAAGTAACAAATGTGGAGGTTTTGCGGAGAGTGCGGAAAGAGAAAGAGCTGATACTTACTGTTAAAAAGCGCAAACTACAATATTTGGGACATGTTATGAGGGGAGATAAATACCAGTTGCTGCAATTGATTATACAGGGAAAGATAATGGGAAAGAGATCTATAGGAAGAAGAAGGCATTCATGGTTGAAAAACTTGAGAGAATGGTACAATTGCACCAATTGCCAACTGTTTAGATCTGCAGCATCAAAAATACGCATAGCTTTGATGATAGCCAAACTTCGGAACGAAGACGGCACTTGAAGAAGACCAATATAAACCTTACCCTAGTATTGAAATAGCTTCATCGATAGTTCTAGCTTCTTCTCCTTCTACTTGGAGCCTATTAATATTTTCAATCAATGGAGCATCCAGATGAGTTTCCACTTTCTTCTCTTCTTTTTCTACTTTTGGTGCAGCTGCTTTAGCAGATATCTGAGCTCTCGTCACTTTCACTGGAGGTGCAGGTTTAGATGTTTTCTTAATAATTTCACTTTGTTCTTTTTCTAATAATTCTTTTGCTTCAGCTTTCTTCCTCAAGGCATCTTGTTTTTTCTTTTCTTCTGCTTCCTTAATAATTAAAAATTTGTTATTATATTAAAAACATTTATGTAAAATTTAATGTATTTTCATATTATGTAAGATATAGTATTCTGGAATGAACCATATCCATTTGCATTACTGTTATTTTATATATTTTGATATACATTTCATAAAATATAAACACTGAAACCAGCTTATGCCAGTTTCAAGAAAGTAACATGCTAAACGGCATAATATGATCGAAGTCCTTTAATCTATTCACACAACCATTCACCTCAAAGAATAGCACTAAATTTTATGTAGAAAGCCAGTCCTAACAAAAATACATCAGTCTAATAATCATCTTTAGTTGGTCTACTACCAGTTAAACAAAAGTGTGTGCATCTTAAACAAAACTTCTTAAAAAAAAAGAAATTAGTTAAAAAACCGAAAAGACGATGTCCAGTAACATATTTCCATAAGTTAGGGTTGGGAAAATATTAAAACTAACTAAAACAATTCTACCAAAGAGGCTTCTTGAAAACCAAATCTACCATTGATCACATATCATCCATCAGACAAATATTAGAAAAAACGATGGAGTACAACATAGACTGCCATTACATCTTCATAGACTTTAAGGCAGCATACGATACTATTGACAGATCCCAATTATATTCGGCGATGATCAAATTAGGAATACCAAAAGGTTTGGTAGAATTAATTAAAATGACAATGATGAAAGTCGAATGTAAACTGCGTGTACAAGGGGATGTTTCAAAACCAACAGAGGACTGCACCAGGGAGATGTGCTATTGTGCACGCTGTTCAACCTAGCAGAAAAAGTTATGAGAGATTCGGGAATAAACTTAAAAGGTACAATATATACCCGTAGTATACAAATAATGGCATACACTGATGATACGTCATAATTGGAAGAACCCAAAATGAAGCAGTGGAGATTTTCACATGTATCAAAAATGTCGCAGAAAACATCAGACTTCTGATTAACATCCAGAAAACTAAATATATGCCGGCCATATCAAGAATTCAACAAAATAACTTAGAGGTGCAACATGAAACGATAGAAATGGTAGAAGAATTCTGCTACTTAGGATCACTGGTAGACTACAAAAATAACACATCCAACGAGATAAAAAAAAAGAATATGCGTGGCTAACCACTGTTATTTTGGCCTGGGCCCAAGAGCGAGAAGTATGTCAATAGCAACAAAGTGCAAACTTTATAAAACAATAATACGCCCAGTGCTCACATACGGATCGGAAACATGGGCAATGACGACCCGAGATGAAGAGTTACTATGAGTCTTTGAAAGAAAAGTATTGAGGACCATATATGGTGGAGTAAACTCCGTGGAGAAGGCGATATAACTTTGAACTCTTTAGACTTTTTGGTGATGCAGATATTGTGAAGACCATCAAAATAAACCGCCTAAGGTGGGTGGGACACGTTATGCGGATGAATGAGAGTGATCCCACTAAAATAACTATGCTAAACAGGTCGGTCGGAAGAAGAAGGGTGCGACCTAAACTCAGATATCTGGACGATGTACAGGAAGATCTGAGGGAGATTGAAGTGAGGGGCTGGAGAAGACAGACACTCTATAGGGAAGAATGTTTTGAAGCAGGCCAAGGCTCACGAAGGGCTGTAGCGCCAACTGATGATGAAAAACAATTAACTTGAAAGTCTTAGAACTTAGATTTTATAATTTTAATTACAAACATAATAATAAACCTTTTTTTGTTGTTTCTTTTGTAACTGCTTGTCATTATCTGCCCAATATAAATCATCTAATTCTTTCTGCTTTTTGGCAGAAACTTCATCTTTAGCTTGTTTTTTCCTTTCCCTAGCAGCAACAGCTTTGGTGTTTTCAGTTGCAAACTTTTTTGGCATATTTAATTTTTTCTATTAGTACAATTCCTGATAAAAAATATTTTATGCAAGCAACTATGTATTGATTCAATTTTAACCTTTCTAAAGGGAGCTCTCTATTTTGACATTGACGTAATTTTTTTATTTAAAAAGAAGAAAGGTCAGGATTTTTTGTTTACTGAGTAGGCCATTTGTACGCGACCAATTATTGAAATTTATATAACCTAAAAAGGAGCAGGAAAATGGAGTATAGTGTTCTATGATCTCCGATTTTGACAGTATTCAGTATTTATCAAACCAGGAACCAGGTATTAGGTATCGTACATAACGTGCCCCGTAACGTAAAAAAGCTTAAAAATACTAAATAGAAATAATGGCACCCTTTAAAATTGTTATGGTTCGTCATGGAGAGTCAGAATGGAATGAAAAGAATCTATTTTGTGGATGGTTTGATGCAAATTTAAGTGAAAAAGGTTAGTAAAATTGTATCGACCTTGGACGACCTTAACTTTTCAAAATCTGGTATTTATATAATTCATACATTTAACGAGAAAAATGTGAATGAATAAAAACTATTTAATTTGTAAAATGTAGATTTAAACTTAGGTTGTAGACATACTAATAGAAATAGTAAAATTTGTGGAAGATTTTACTTTAATTCTCAGGAACAAGTTCCATTTTATCATTTCCTGTAAATACACTGCACCCCAAAATTAACGCATAATTTTAAAAACCCTGGTAAATGAAATAATTTCAATGTTTCGATTTTTGTGCTAATATATTATTGTTACCTCCGGTATATTGTAAAATTTATCGAAAGAACGGTAAAAAACGCTGATGTTTTTACAATTTTTTGCAAAAAAATTAAAAACATGCTAATTGTGCTTAATTTTATTTCGAATTTAGTAGGGTTGTATTACGTTGTGCTGAACGTTTAAAGGGGGTTTTCAAGTTTATTACCCGTACACTTCGTACACTGAGACAAGTGTATGGGTTTGTTATCAGTACTTCTCTACAAAATGAATTTTTGGATCCTTATAACTTTAGAATCAGCCAAAATACGATTAAAAGAAGACTTGCCGAAAGCGACCTATATCCTGGAAGGGCACCAATTGGCCCATTATTGACCAGAGACCATAGAAGACAAAGATTTAATTTTGCTTGTGAACATGTTGATTGGAATAATGACAATTGGGGAAGAATATTGTTCACTGATGTGAATCAGGGTACTGTCTTATTTTTGATGACAGGAGAAACCTAGTGTATAGAAGGCCTGGAGATAAAGCAGAAAACTACAAACAAAAATTTTTTCATTACAACTCAAAATAGAATTTTAAAATTATGCGTTAATTTTGGAGCGCAGTGTATTAGTATTTATATACAAAATCCTAAACGAAAGATGTGTTCAAAATTAAATATTATTGAAAATAAACTACTTCCACGTCCTAATGATATATCTCTATATTATGTATGTAATGCATATAAACTATTGTTTTAGTATTAAATATTTAAACAATAATTATACATTTTATGTAGAAATAAGTTTTAGTTATACTCTTATAACATAGGAGCTTAATACTGCTTTGTTTTGTTAATTTTATTTGCAATAAATTTTAATAAATCCTTTTTACTAGGTAAACAAGAAGCCATTAATGCCGGAAAAGCACTAAAAAATGCAGGATATAAATTTGATATTGCATATACATCTGTTCTTACAAGAGCCCAGAATACACTTAACTCAATAATCAAAGAAATTGGCCAAGAGAATTTGGAAACTATAAAAACTTGGAGACTCAATGAAAGACATTATGGTGGTCTCACTGGCTTAAATAAAGCAGAAACAGCAGCCAAATATGGAGATGAGCAGGTAAGAACAAGTAATCATGTATGCTAGAGACTTTCTACATTATTGCTCCCTAGCAATTTTCAATAGAAAAGTCTACAGTTCAATACATATTTCAAGATATTTAATACTCTTGTAATTGTTTGACCATATTTCACCTCCCTACTATAAGTGTATATATGCATAAAGTTATTAACTAATCCCTTTAATCCTAGGTAGCAATTTGGCGGCGCAGTTTTGACATTCCACCTCCACCAATGGAAGCAGACCATGCTTATCATGATACCATTGTAAAAGATGCCCGATATGCTGATGGTCCTGCGCCAGATCAGTTTCCCAAATTTGAATCCTTAAAGCTAACCATTGAACGTACTTTGCCCTTCTGGAATGAAACTATTGTTCCACAAATTAAAGCTGGAAAGCAGATCTTAATTGCAGCACATGGTAACAGTTTGAGAGGAATCGTAAAGCATCTTGACCGTAAGTAATTAGTATTTTATTTAATCTGTATTCTGATTTTAATTTATTTTTATACATTACAGAGCTTACTGACGACCAAATTATGCAGTTAAATTTGCCAACAGGAATTCCATTTGTCTATACATTAGATGAAAATTTGAAACCAATAAAGAGCTTAGAATTCCTAGGAGATCCAGAAACTGTGAAAAAAGCTATGGAAGCTGTAGCTGCCCAAGGAAAAGCCAAATAAGCATTATATTTATTATTTATTGTTTTAATTTATATACAAATCATTTATTGTTAGATATTTCATGTATAATGAATAAATGGTTAGGCTGACTTGTAACACTCAGCAGAAATGTTATGTGCAAGATGAACAATTTTTTTGCCCAATTTCTGTTCCAGGGTCTATTGAACTGTGTGAATTTGTTCTAAAATCGACACATACCTCTACAACTCAAGCCATAAATATTTCTTGTAATGTTATTTTGTATTTTGTCTTTATTTATTTTTTAAAGGATACCACCCAATTATATGTAAAATATTATAAACTAATACATTAAACCAAAAAATACATAAGCAATAAATAAACAATATAGTACATGTAACAAAAAGAAAGATAGTAAATTACAAATTGAAAGAATTACAATAGCTGCTTTACACTTAATTTAAAAACATTCTCTGAAGTACATAGTAATAAATCAAGGGCTATTTGATTACCATTTAGATTCCTTTTGTTCATTGGAGAATGAAGAAACATTAAAATCAATTGAAGACAACATAATAAGAAGGATATATGTGTTTCCTATTTCAGAGTAAAAACCTTCACTTAAATGCCAGTGTAGTTTAAAATTCAAATATATAATAAATACATTTTGGAATCTCTCTTTCTGGAAAGATTAGAAATATGTATTTGATATGTAGATGACCAAACCACCAAGCAGTATTCACAAAGAGATCTGATCAAGGAAATATAACTCAATCTAATAGACTTAACATCATGCCAACATCTAGAAATTCTGATAATGAAGCCTGACATTTTAAATGCCTGATTGATATATGATGTTCTTTTAAGAAAGATAAAATTAAACTTGAAATATCTTCTCCAGTTTGGCTATGTATATCACAGAAACCTAAGAATGATTCATTAATTTTTATATTACTAGAAACATCAGTAATTGGATCTCTTTCAATAGAAACGTACCTAATTATGACTGATAATTGGTCTGTTTTAGAAATGTCGTGTGTTGTATTTAATAATATAGAAAAAATAAGCTTTTTTGAATATTAATTATAAGAGAATCTCTAATTGAATTTCCTAATAAAGTTAAAAATTCATTTTGAATTTTTGGACTTATCTTGTTTGATATCTCGGTTTTTGTATTAATTCGTCTAAGAAATTGTCGTATTTAGCCAACAAATTAACTATTCCTAGAAAATTGTCACTATTTGCATCACTGTTTCCCTATGTCCTCTAAATGGTATATTCATAAAGCACTAATTTTAAAATTGTATCTACTATCCTAATTAAAATGTTTCTCCAAAAAGATTTTTTTTTTCTAAATTCACTCTCCGTACAATACTCTAAAGATTTGTTATTTTTGTTCATGTCATAAACAACCGAGGCGTGGAGGTGAATTAAAGATTTTTCATGAACCTTCATTTTTTTGAAAAGCCCTGCCAATCCTTCGAATTATATGACTGTGCTGTTCTATCGGCAAAAAGCCAGCAAGGCTCGCAATATGCAACATCGGTTTTTTGCAAGTAGCACAACCAATAACGCGGTAATTCAATTCCTAATGGCCCTTTAGGTTTAGATGGTCCCTGCTGTAGTATTTGTTTTTTATAGCAAAATCTTCAATATTGTCATTATACAACCACTTATCAGAACAGTGATAAACTTCGTGGGAACTAAAAGCATTTTTTTAATTATAAGTCTATCTACCCAAATAAAAATGAAAATTTACCCGGAACTACAATAAGCGTAATTAATTTGCTCGACGTACAATTCTACTTCTGGGTTGTCATTTTCATTTTGATTAGGATTAGTAATTATTGGTTCCTGACTAAGACCAACTGAATCTATTGATGCTTCACCAGCTTTACTAGGCTGCTATTTTAATTCACCAGTTGTCACAAAAAATGAAGAAATTTTTGGTAATTTTTGTTTTTGTTCGGATTTTTGAGCACGTAGCTTTAACTTTTCTGAACTACTTTTATATTCCCTCTTAGAACTCATTCTGTCTCCTGCAGATATTATAATTTCCTTATATTACCGTTTATCTGTTGAGAGATTGTCCAATGATAACACAAGTCATCAATAATTGAAAATAAAGAAGTTGATGCAACTAAACCGTTAAACAACACAAATAACACAAAATGCAAACAACCAAACAATGTAAGGAAATATACTACTGCCGAATATGGTATCGAAATACTAAACGTAAACAGAAAACGCATTCTAGATGTAGAAAAATATTGTTCTAAAATTCGCAGAATTGCAATTCTCAAAATTTTCAAATATTTCAATAGTCACGTACAAAGCATTATAGTTTATAGTCATTATCACAAAAGGTCGGGACACCGGAAAGGATTAAGTTTATGTTTACGGGAGTAGCAGATATGAGATGATAGTTGCCGAATATGCCTACTTAAAAATTTGCATTCTTAAATTTAAACTTACGGGTTTTATGTTAGTTAATGTTTTAAGATTTCCAGGCACTGTTTAAAAAACTTTACATCTGCATGCATAAAATAATATAAAATAACACATTTTTACATATATTAGACGATAAGATGGGGCCCCTCCCGCAAGATTCATGTCGCGTGGGCCTCTGTTAGGCCTCTGTAGATCATAAGTCTTTCGAGAGGACAATCACAGCCTAGGTCAATATATAACTGGTCAAGGCTAAAGTTTCTTTTGGTGGCCTACTTTGATGAAATCATGGATCGAGACCACAAAGCAGCGAGAATCAAAATTTATACTGATAGCCGTAAAACGTCTATTCGGCAGTAAAGAAATCAATCACCAAATCAAAACGATTAAGGAACTGAAAGATCTCTACATTTGAAGTCAATTCTGTAACTATTCTAAAATGCGCATAGCCCAGGACATAATGGCCCTTGTTGCTGAGTCTGGCTATAAAACCTTCTACAACAGACGAGATAAGAGCCCCATACGGACAATCTCCGGCTACCTGTGATAATACTGTATCGTGTATCCACATGTAACGCTGTGTATTTCACACGGATCTCCAGAATGCAGTATATCCACCTTCAGCTTGTCTTGTCTAGTCCGTTCAGCTGAATTGCACTCTGATTGCTTCGTATGAGATGTTGTCGACTATTTCCTTTATATCTAAAAAGAGTTAAAACGACGTTAAAAACAATTTTGCTGGAAATAGAACCCTTTTATAATATGTGTTCTGTGACTAGAACTATTAATGAATTGTGTTTAGTTTACAGCATTACACGTATGTGTAATACTGATTGCCTATTATCAAGAATCGTATCTGCCCTCTCTTAAGTCCGTTTTCTTGACATTCGTCAATTTGATCAAATTTAACTGATCGTGTGACAGGTAGATTTTTAAAATTTGAACAAACTGTAATTATGACGTCATTACGTCAGTTTGCTCAAACTAATTTGATCAAATATTTGACCGCCTGACACGGACTTTACATATCTCTGTATCTGCCAAACATATTTATCAAACAATATATAGACGCATATGCGTCTACATTCTTTGATATTATAAAAAGTATTGATCATAGAATGCCTATAACTTTTACAAATATGACTATCAATAAAGTGTGATTAAAAACACTGCATGACTTAACTGACGTATTAATGCACCTGACCCTTCTATTATTAATATGTCTATGCCCATAGATAAATAATATAGTATATACAGTCTATGCCCATAGCACAGAATTCACCCAACGTGACACTTTTATTTTTATCGTGTTGCGCAGACAACTTGTGCGTTCAAGCAAGAACATTTTGTTTGACACATTGACACTTTCTTGTAAAAGCAAAATAAAGTCAACATTAAATCGCTTTTTCTGAATTGGAGTAAACAACTCATTGAATTATTGTAACAGTTAATTATTATCGATATACTCGATAGTATTAATTCGATAGTTTCCCATTATCCTCCTATATTATTATGTTTAACAGTGGTTTAGTCCATTGATGTTGACGTTGTTGATTTTTCCCCATTTAAATAAACGTACAAATTTTAAAATAAGATGACATCAAATGACGATATTCTTTGGAAGGAGTCTTTTTTTGAAGTAAGAAATTAACAGCTATTTATTGTGTATATATTATTTACTACTATTCAATTTTAGAAGAATTTTAGTGTGGATAATAGCCTTTCAACATTCACTCAAAAGTATGATTTAGATACGCTTAGGAGTCATTTGAAAAGTTATGGCACAGAACTACAGCAAAGAATGAGTGAAATTTTAAAGGATGAAACGGAAGCAATAGTCAATTTAGCAGAATATCTCACTAATCTAAATGTGAAGATTGAACATCTATCTCTCCCTTTTTTTCAACTCAGGGAAGAAATCATGGTATGTATGCTTTAATGTAAGGTCCAAACATTTAGCACAGTATCAATACCTTTCTTAATCCTAGTCTGGAATTGTTCAAACTGAATGTACAGCTAAATTGTAAATATTTTAGTTAATTCAGGAAGGGCCACTTGCATCAATGTATTGAAAGGTGTTCATATAGATCATGAGTTAGAGAGTCAAAGATCGATTCTGATTTTTTTTTAATAATTTGATCAATGTATATTCACACTTTTCACAGAAGTTTAGGCTTCTTACAATCAATTTATTTGTAGGTATCACAATTTGTTTGTAGATTCTTTAAAATTTATTATCTGTTTCACCAAACTGTTGTTTATATCTTTAAGTGCTATCAAACACATGTTTTTCATTTTGTTCTGTATTATCTATAAGTCACATATTGTGGCATTATTTATGAATTTTGATATTAGACTTCTGGTTGCTTATTTTATTTTGTTTTCTGTATTATTTTCCACATTTGTATATATAATTTGTAAATATCTCTGTAATTCTGTAATTATGTAAAGTAAGCTGATTAATGTTTACATTTTTATAACGTTTCTATTCTGTTTTAGGCCTTAAATCAACTAATAAGTAATGCAGAAATGAGTTATGGAATGCTTTTGAATAATATTAAGGACAATAACACCAGCAAAAATAATTTAAATTTGAAACTTGGAGTCATTTCTTGTTCTGTGTATATAGACAAACTTTTAAAAAATTTTGCAGAGTCATTTGAAGACCTAATTATTTTAGAAAGAATAGTGGGAAAATATTCATTACAAAAAAGTTATGTGGATGAATTAGAAATAGTGACCACAGATATGCAGGATATAATGGTAACAGTGGAAGATCAACTAGTAAAAGTTATTAACAGGAAGTTTCTTCAAGCTGTTGAAGCAAATGATACTGAGATTGTTACTAGATGTTTAAGAATGTATGACAGCTTAAAAAAGCACAATGATGCAGAAGATATATATAGGAGGACAGTAGTGAGGCCTTATTTACAAAGACTATTTAGTGATAATAGTGTAGAAAAATCAAACCAAAATGTAGATAAAATTTATGAAAATGTTCTGGATTTTATAGATACAAATATGAAAGTACTCACCACAGTAGTTGAATCTAATGCAGACTTAAATGTGTTTAACTTTATCTTTAATAGTTTTTGGAAAGAATTTGATAAACAGTCCCGTGAAGGTTTACCACACATTACAGCTCCTGGTAATCCAGAGCAATTTCAAAAACGGTATAAAAGCACATATGAAGTTCTTTTGAAAATTTCAAGGAAGTGTAAGAATGAAGATTTGATAACACAAGATGAATCTTTCACAGAACATCTAAAACGATTTAATTTACCAGTCTACCTTGAAATTAGGTACCAGAAAATAGCTAGTGATTTTGAATCTGCTCTGGATATGGAACCAAATGAATTTTATGCTACCAAAAATGAAATTTCTTGTAAGTTAAAACCTACTTTAGCACTGTGGATAGCTGTTTCTCAGTGTTTTGATAAAGATGTTTATCTAGATCAACTTGCTGATCAGTTTATAAGATTATCAATGCTGCTCTTATCCAGGTATTTGAAATGGTTTTGAGACAACTTTAAAGGTTAGTATAACAAATTGTATAGCTACATCTAGTTATCAGCATTACTATTCTTCCCTGCTTAGTAAAAATATTCTGTCTACAATTCCTTAGTTAGTAGAAAGCCCATTTTGCCTTCTCAAGCTGTACAATAATGTAGTTTGGTTTGTAGTTAGAATAAATCCGTACCTAGGAGGTAAAGGACACTGTCCATTTTCTTACTTTTTAAGGAGAGCAGTTTTAACATTTTTTAAATTTGTAATCAGTAAATACTCAAATGTTTCTGATATTTAACCAAAATTAATATAATATAATATAATATTATAGAAACATTTGAGTATTTACTGATTACAAATTTAAAAAATGTTTAAACTGCTCTCCTAAAAAGTAAGAAAATGGACATAGTGTCCTTTACCTCCGAGTACGGAAATATTTTATATAAACACTATTTAGTTAAAGTGTCCTGTGAGCATAAAAGTATTAACCCATTAGCACTGAGAAAAGAAAATTCTTTTTATATGCAATAATTTTATTTAAAACTAAGTAAAAACAACTTATTTTTGTTAAAGCCGAAATAAAAAAATATTCTTTTTTTTTGGAAAAAAAAGGTGGTCCCATGTGGGACCACTAGGCGTTTGGCCGGATCAAATATTGCAACAATTAATTAATTTGTCCAATTTGTATGAAATGGTTTAAAACATGAAATGCAAAGCCCTTTTTGAACTGCAAACTGGCATGGCGCACCTCTTTCTTTTGCCCTCAGGTACAGAGATAATCTTGCTCTACTGCTCTACCTATTTTTCCAGTTCTTTTAGCGGGGACATTATATGTCGTTAAGTAGGTCTAAAAATTGAATGAATCGTAAACATTTTCTGAGTTTTGTATACAAATACTTTTACCTGACAAATACTTCTTCTCAACTCTAAGAGACTAAAATTCTTTCCAGATTTCCTACATATCATCCAAGCATTTTGAAGAACTGTGTCTATGAGGTACGTAAATATTGGCCAGTACCATTTTTTGGAACATATGCCGGCTTGGTAACTGAAAAAAAAATTATCTATATATTTTCATTTATATAAATATTGCTCTTTATTTCTTACCAAAATATATTACTGTCCATGAGATCCGTTCCTCCCATGTTGTTATTTTACTGCGAAAGAAGATATGGCCTAGGTACTTGTATTGTCTTGCTATCCTTTTTGGAATATCTTTCCACTTTTTGACAGGCTGAACACCAAAACATGTGCTTGCAGCTGTTACAACTTTGTTGTCCCTCCAGCGAACATATTGAATACCAGTCTCCTTATTCAATGTTAAACAATATTTCCCTCGTGCCCTCTTTTCCATCGTCTTTTTGGAAACAAGTGGACAATTTCTAGGAATTCTATTATCCCTCCCAGCTTTTAGAGCACTTAGCAAGTTTGTACTGGTAAATAAATTATCAAAGAAAAACGTATCTCAGAGACCCTTTGTCACCCAATTCTTCGATCATCTGTACTATGGGAGCTGCAGCTTTTCCGAAATATTTTTGATATTCTTCATTAAATCTAGGATTTTTTCCCTGATATACTTCAAAGTTTATCAAATATCTGCTAGGTGTATTCATACACCACACCTTATAGCCAAACCTTACAAGGCTTTGCTCTGATAAACTGTTTGCATCCATGATGCCCAAAGTAGCGTATCATTGATTCATCATAAGCTATATTTTCTTCTGGGACAAAATACTCTATGAACTATTTTTTTAACATATCTGTAAGTGGTCTTAGTTTGTAAATTTTGTCATTTTTATCTACATTATAATTGTCTGCAAAATGAAGTAAATGCCAAATTTGTAAAAACCTGTCACATCTCATGACATCAGACACCAGAATATTTTGCATGTCAGGGCTTCTCTACCAGTAGCTTCTTTAGATGGTAGCTTATTATATCCGCTTACTAAGAGAATTGCCATAAATACTTTCAATTCAGAAGTGTCACGTTAGGGTTCGATTGATTATCAGTAGAGCATATTTTGTTGTTTCAGAACTATCATTTCTAGCAACTATCAGTAATAAATAATTCAAACAGTTGCACACAACTCATCTCTGAATATTTACTGTAATCCCCTTTTGAAAGTTTGTGCGCATATAATGAAGGTCTCCGTCAATATAAGTTGTAGGTTATGGCTGATCAATTACCATTCAGGGATTTGTATTAGTTTTTATTTCATAAGAACTATTTACACTCTGCAAATCCTTATCATAGCTTGCTTGCAGGTCTGATTGTACACCTTCTAGACATTCAGAGTCTGCAAATACAACTTCCGCACCTGCACGAAGTTGACGAGGATTCAAGTTATCCGGGTCACCACCTTCGTCTTCGTTACCTGAATCCTCATCCATAAGGAAATTTGATTCAGGCGGCTCAATAAAAATGTCTGTTACATAATCTTTTTCATATGCAATATCTAAAGCTTCCTGTAGTGTAGTTCCACTGAAATTATAAAAAGATATATTTTGACTACATAATCGCCTAGTGGGTTATACGGGTACAGCAATATTTACATGAATTTTTAAATGCCCCTTGTAATTTTGATGAAATCTAATAAAACACTGATGAGTATTCATCAACGCGGGTTCAGACAAGTCTAAATAAAGTATACATACAGTAAATGTAATGTTGGTTGCTTGTTTTATTATAATTTTATTGTGTTAAACAATACCTTTACAGCTGACTGTAGGCGCTAATGGGTTAAGCTAGGACTTTTTTTAACTAAGTACATAGTGACCACTACCAGTATCTGGTTCCTCTGCCTTTTCTTGCTGTATTAGGTCTGAAGTTTTATTAGGGAATTCTTTTGTACTATATAAATATTGCACATATAACCACATCCTTTCTAAAAATACTACTTTTAGGTTAAGTTTTCTACATGTGAAGAAACAGAAAAATTCATTATGAGTTCATTAATTGATTTCACTTTTGTTGAAAACTTACTTTGCCCCTCTGTTGATAATCCTTCGGATATTAGTAAGACAATATATGGAATAATTAGTTGGGTATATGTTATTCCAAATATAATAAACGCCAATCAGAAAACCATAATTCATCTTCAGAATATTTTGAAAAGTAACTTAATAAAAATGAAAGTAGATGAAATATGCAATCAACTTCAACATGTGGGATCAATACCAAGATTATACAGAAGAACAAACAGAAGCTCACCTAAAGAAGCTAGCTCTTACATGGTAGATGCTGTGAAACCAATTATTACATTCCACAATGAATTTACAGTTGTCATACAAAACAGAACAACTGAAATTTTAAATGATATTATCCTTCAAGCTACTAAACAGTAAGTAATATTTCAAATAAGATTAATTTAGTTAATATCTAAGATAAACTTTATTCCAAATATAGGAAATAATTGAGGAGGTGATTATTACCTTTGGTTTTATATTATTATAGTGTTTGGTTCTTTTTAACTCAAAACGATTTTTATTTTTTAGTTATTTGAATTTGGTCCAGAGTGTGTTAAGGTCAGTTTGCAAAACGGAAGAATCATTAAGAAGATTGAAAAGTAGAAATGTAAATATGTCTGAGGAAATTTCCCCACAATCTGACTCAGGATCAGATGAAATTAAAATTAGGGAGCAAATTAAACTTGATGTAGGTTATTTTCTTGAAAAGGTAAGTGGTGTTTATTTATAAATTTTGTAATACACACTACTTGGATTTCTGTCTAGAGCATTGTTTGTATTAATCAACACCACATGAAAGTTTTTAAAGATGTACCCAAATTTCTACGTTTTTTCTGAATATTTTTAAGTTTTTTGCAAATGTTACAAAGAGTATAAAACATTTTTTTCCATGATCTTTAGAACAAAGAAGGATAGGTCAATATATCTATATGACTTTGATTCCTTTGGAGGGTATATGACACTCTCTAACCTGCTGCTACCTTTGGATTATACCCTAACACGAAACTCATTTTGAATACTTAACTATTTTTGAGGCAGTAGAATATCCATTCCCTGTTGTAACACAGTTGGGAAGACATCATCCTTCCCAGAAGACTTATAGGGCTTAATACTATTAATAGCCCATTGGATATTTTTTGTGATTTTTTGTGTATGTAGTAGATTCAGCAAGCTCAGAATTTGCTTCATCTTCAATAAATGTTGAACTAGGAAAGTGCGCATTCAAAAGGCATTTTATGCTTTTCTCTGTGGTATCTCTGGTTTTGTAAAGTCACTGTTTATACGTAGTTCAATGTCATTAGAATGGTCTCTCAACATACCTTTTTGAAAGCGCACATAGCGAGGCCTAAATTGGTGATCCCTTTGCAGAACTGCCTTTATGTTGTCATTTTATATCTTCTTAACTCAGTTGTTATATTTTATGAGATCCTTTTTGTAGTCCTCCCAATTACCTGCACTTTTAGCTCTGTTAAAGGCTCTGCACGGGGTAGCTTTTGATTGTAGTAGATTTAATTCTTCTGATATTTCACTGACATAACGGACAGGTTAAAAGTAAATATTAAACACTATAACACCGTTTAAAACTTTTTAGACATTTTAATGTTGTTTCAGCTGCGTCCACTGGGTTCTGAAGATTGTAGACATATAATGGACTTACTAAAGGAGGAAATTAACTAAATTAATATCCTTAAGACAAAAATAAAATTTTGGTTATCCTTATACTTTTGATTAATTTATTCCAACCGTATGTATAAATTTTTGTTAAATAAAAATATTATAATTTATAAATAAATTATTTACAATGAATAGAATTGTGTTGCTGTAGATGACTGAAGTTCAATTTGTCCCATTTTAAATTGTAACCTCTGTAACCAACTTAGGAGCATTGGATTATGTAAATTTGCTACTTTTAACTTCTCTGGGATTGCTTCTTGAATAATGTGGGTGGAAAATTGCGGCAGTTTTGTAATCTTACTTGTAAATGACAGGCAACTGAAAATAATGTTGAGTTATAGAAAAATATTTCATAATTACATACAGCTATATGAAAGCTTAAATATAAATAATTAAATTATATTGCGAGTCAGGTTCTGTAAATTGTACTAGTTTGATGTATGTCGTTGAGCTCCAAATTTTGGACCGTTTCAATGGTAATCTAATACCATAAATAATTGCATGACTAAGTAACTGGACATCCCAATGTTCATTTTACTTCAATATTTCAGTCTTCAATATTACCGATACCTACAGATACTAACTAATACTCTTATTGTGGTCTTGTTGTAGCAGGTAACTGATTATAATTCCGTAATAAAGGCGTGTTTCAAAAGTTTATTGCGTTGGGTATTAGTATAATTGTCATTTGACAAATCATTCTGTTCTCAAAAGTGAATGTGAAAACTTAATCATCGTCAGTCGAGCTTGTTTAATAACATATTTTGATTTTAAAATGCCGAAAATAACTAGTGTCGCTATTTGGATTAAACCTTACAAGGAGGTTTATTGTTCAGTTTGTGGCAAAAATTGTAAGTACTAAATAGTTAATACTTTTCTATGTTTGATATGTTATTTAAAATATTTCAATGATTTCATAAATTAATTTAAATTGCATTTATGTATATTTTATTATAAAATAAATATTTTAACTATTGCTGAAATATCAGTGACTGCCAAATCATCGCGCAGTTACTTAAATGGAATTTCTTCTATTGATGTCTTTAGTTTAAGATTATAAAGAAATCGCTTATAACTGTAGTTATTTATCAATCAAAATTACCTTTGATTTGATTATGAGGTGTTTAAACAAATTAAACAACGTGATCGGCTTATAAAGATTTTAAAAAATGTATTGACTTCATTGAAAAACAACATAAAAGGCAGGATTTTAAGAGACATAGAAATGAGGTAGTAAATATGTTAAAGCTGAAAAAAGAGCGGTTCTATTTTTAACAAAATAGACAGGTATAGAAACAATCCAAAAAATGTGGCAAACTTTAAAAAAATTAATCAATAATAATAGTGGAGAAATGCCAAACAGTGTAATCTTTGAAAATACTACTGCCTAAAACGGTTTAACAGAGTAGAAATAGCTAGCATTTAATGAGTATTTTGTTGAAAAGCACTAAAATATTGTTCAAAGTATTGATAGTTCTGAAACATGGTGTAATGTAAATAGTAATCCATATTTAAATTTTGAAAAATTTGAAAAGCTTTCTAAGCAGGATTTACGAAAAATTGTTGACAATTTAGATAATAAATTCTCATTACATGAAACGTTAAATTGCAGAATGGTAGAGGAAGTTTTTGAAACCATTGGGCACGTTATGTTAAATTTAATTAATACTGTTAAAAATAAGTACTATCACCCTATTCAAAAAATACCCAACACTATCAAAGCTGAAGAATTCCGACCAAGCAATACTTTACCTCCTATAGAGAAAATATTAGAAATTGCTATTTATGAACAATTATTAGAACATGTAACAAAAAATAAAATTTAATTAATAATCAATGAGCTTTTCGAAACAATTCTCTTGTGAATCAGCGTTACAAGTTACATTATGTCACATAAAGAGTAATTTAGATAAAAAAATAGTACGTACGGTGTATTTCTTGATTTAAAAAAGAGCTTTTGAAACCATTGACAGGACAATAATGATTGCTAAACTTAAACACTATGGTATAGGAGGTACAGTAATTGCGTGGTTAGAAAATTATTTACAAGATCGCAAACAGAAAGTTCGATTTAAAGACCATTTGTCATCTGAAATGGATAGTAATACAGGGATAATAATATAGGGGTAGTGTATTAGACCCCTTTTATTTATGCTGTACATTAACGATATCGATATTTTTGTAATTTGTTAATTTATTAATCTTTTTGCCGATGATACTCTAATCTGTTGTAGTGATGAAAATTTTAATTTAGCTATTCAAAAAATGAACACTATTTTAGATATGGTTAATATATATTTAAACATGAATAAACTGAAGTTGAATGTGAAAAAAACAAAGGCAATGGTTTTCACTACCTAACATGAATATAGCTTGCTTGATTCTGAAATCATAAATTTAAATATTAATAATGAAACAATTGAAATTGTCACAAGAGTTAAATATTTGGGATTCCAGCTTGACTATATTCTTGAGAGTCACTTCGAGTACGTTCATAAAAAAAATATCAAAAACTTTACTTTCTGAGTAGAATGTCTCAAAATTTATCAATGAATAAAAAATAACAGTATATAACACAATTATTCAACCTCATTTTGACTATTGCTCATCAATTTTATATTTATTTAACCTTAACAAACTTAACATGCTACAAAAATTACAGAACAGTGAAATGAACATAATTCTTAAAACAAGTCGCCGTACCCCAATTGGGATGATGTTAAATACTCTAAATTGGTTCTCTGTTGAAAATAGACTATTTTATTTCACCATGACTTTGGTCTTCAAAATAGTAAATGTCTTATCACCTGAATATTTTCAAGAATCATTTCTTTCGACAAAAGTATTCCTTCTTATAATATCCGAGGTTTAGATGACATATATGTACCTAGAACTGTGTATAAAAGTACGATAAATTCGGTCTTTTAAAAGCTTCGTTAAATTTAATCAGTTACTAACATCTGTAAACATTCGGTCAAGTTGGAAGGAAGGAAACGAACAAGATATTTTTAATGAAGACTCTGCCGTGCATTAATCTCTTCAAATATATCACTTTTAAAATTATTCAATGAAAACTTAACTTCTTTTTTAAAAATATTGTAAATGGAATATTCCAAGTGAAAGGACTCTAAAGAGAAACCATGTCAACTCGTTGTACTCGTCAGTAATAGATAATATAGAAAGTAATATTAGGGACAACTATTACTTCTACGTGTGTGTTGACGAAATCACTGATTCGTCAGGAGATATATCGCTCATTTAATGATTGATAATCCTATTTAATTTCATGCAAGCTGGTGGAACTTTGACGTAATATTCACTAATTGTTTGAGGAAAACTTATTGAATTCTTTTCTCAGTGGGTAAAGTACCAAATATTTTAGGAACATAGAATCGTTAAAAATATTCCTTCAATATAACTAAGCAGACCGCAAGGCGATGATTCCGTATGTTTTGGTTTTATCAGGTTGTACTAGGAGAAGAATCAAGAGTAATTGATCGATTTAATAACACGCGAATATTTACACATCAACTATTAAAAAAGAGTTTGTTTTTACAACTTTGTTCATTTATATACCGGTGTTTAAAGGCACCCGAATATATCGAAAACTGTTGCACTGTTCACTGCGTTTGGAGCGAGCGTACTGTACCTACACTTCGACTAGTAACTTGAGATCACTCTGTGATCTTTGATATTGGCCTTACATCCAAAGTAAGGGCGTCTATGTTATTATAGAAGACCCAACCATCTGGCAGCTTAAGATGAATATTTTGTAGACAAGAAGTACAGTCTGTCACATAAGGTTCAAAGCAATTTATTAAAACAAAAGATCATCATCATCAATGGTGCTACAGCCCTATGAAAGAGCCTCGACCTTCCCAAGTCTATTACGCCAGGCAG